CCCTTTGGCCGGAGGGAGACGCGGCGAAGGCAGGGCGGCTCTGGCGCGTGCGCGCCGGGGGAGAACGCGGAGGAAGCGCCCGGGCCCAGCTGGAGCCGAAGCGAGGCGCGTAGCACCCGCCGCCCCCCGGAAAGAGCTCCGTTTCACGTCCGTGCGAAGCAGCGATCTTCCCAAGGCCGCTTACGGGGCTCAGCCGCTCTGTCTTTGCCTCCTTGATACCTGTAGCCACCGCAGAACGTGGTAGTCGCACCATTTGCTCATGTGGGAAACTGCTGGAAAGGGAAATGAAACGGCCCCTTTCTGGGCCTGATCCAAACTGCATATTGATGAGGGCTGTTTGTCTGTCTGCTCCGGCTCGGCCCGGCCCGGCCCGAGAACATACTGGTTTCTTTGGCGCTTCGGGCTGAAGGTGAAGCAGTGTCTGGGCTTGTCCTGTTAATGACCTGGGGACGAGCTTTCTGGACAGCATGTGAGTCTGCAAGATCCTTCCTGGAGTTTATGGCTCGATTGCACGAAGTCCAAGGGCGCCTTCGCGGAAATGAGAGGCTGCATATCTTGGGTGCGAGAGCAACAAGTTCTTGTGAAACCTCACTTTCTTGGAAACAAGGATTTGTAATCTGTCACAGTCTGGATCTCAGGGCATATTTAAATAAAAACAGTGCATAACTTGTGACTGATCTGAATTGGGGACAGATATTCACATTCCTATTTGATAGCAGGGTGACTTCATGTTTTTCCACCTGAACAACTGTTCATGGCAACTCCCTGCATGGCATATAATAAAGTGTCTAAAGTGACTTGCGGAGACGTTAAATATCCCAAGGGACAAGGAGAGGGCGGAGGAGCGCCACAAGGCAAAAGGCTGAGGGCGGAGGAGAGTCTCCCAGCAGGCCCCTCTCGGGGAGCCCCTTGGCCCAGAAAGACTGAAAGGCGTTCCCCCCAATCTTGCCCGCAGGTCTCGTTCGAGCCAGAGATGCTGGCCTCGAGAGCCAGGGCTCCTGCCTTTCCTCCCGTTCCTGGGGCTGACCGTCCCCAAGCCAGGCCTGAACTTAGATCCGATGTGGGGCACCACCTCCTACTCTAGGGCCTTATCGAAGCAAAAGGCTGGCGGAGAACAGCTGGTGATCAAAGGCCGTTGGTCATAATGCGGAAAAGAAGCTTAGGCCAGGGGGCGCAGGGGCATTGGTTTGCTTGCTGGAGTGGCACGCAGCTTCCGTTCTCTGCTTTTGCCGCTCCGTGAACGTGCCCAGCAGGCCGCCGGGACCCTCTTCCCACTGTAGGTGGGCGGGTGTGCCGTTCCTGTGCCCCCCTCCCCGTGGCCAGTCCCCACCCTGTGCCTGGGCTGTGCTGAGCAGTCTGCTTCCCTCCTCTTCAGCAAGTGCTGCGTCGTCTCAGAGACGAGGTGATCGGGGGGTTGAAGTCCAGGCTGCATTGTCGCTGGAGCAGCCTTGCCTTCCTCCTTCCCGGCTGGCAGGCTGGATCTTGCTGCTGTGCAGGCCCAGGATGTCCTGGTGGCTGCTGGCCCTCCTGCTCCTGCAGACGCCCGTGGGTGAGTTTTCAGAGGAGGAAGCCACCTCTTTGCTAGGGCTGCACCTGAAGATCCTGCCAAGGGAGGGAACAGCTGAGCCTTGGTTCTGGGAAACCAGAAGGAAGCAGCCTGCCTGCACACCTGCTCCTCCTGGGGCCTTTTTACGTCTGCTGAAAGGTTCAAAGCCTTTCATGTGTTTTGAAATTTGCCATTTGGGGCTGCGCTTGAGTTTGTTTAAGATGAAAGAAAAGCATTTGCTTGTAGTTAGTAAATGGTCTCCCTGTTTCTCCATGGGCTGGCAATTGTCCTCTAAAATCTGTTGGCACCCTTGTTGGTTTCTGGAGAGAGGCAGAAGTTTGTCTGCAAACCTGAGAACTGATTTGCACTGAAAATTTAGTTCTCTGTTTTCTACATTCAGATTCTGAACAGTGAATGTGAATTTCTTGAATGGGATGGAGAGCATCCCTCATTTTGCCCTCCTGTATAAACGAGTGCAAGATTTAGTCTTGGAGCAGCCTGGTGCATGTTGGTCCTTAAGCCCACTGGGGTTGGCTTAAGGGCTGGCTACGTGTTCTCTCAGCTGAATCCGCTTCACAAGTTGGTGGTTCCTGCTGAAGGAGGGAACCTGGATGGAAAATGTCTGGATTCTTCCGAGGGGAATGAGAAGCAGGTAGACGAGTAGGTGGTCCTTGTGATCCACCCACTTGGGGTTTCTTTCTTTGTCTCCTAGCAGGGCCTCTGTTTTATGTCGAGGCTGCATTTGTCAACCGATGTGGAAGTCCGAGTGTGTGTGATTTTGTGTGTGACTGCTGGGATTGTTCAGATGAAAACCAGTGTGGTGAGTTGAGCTCCTTTCCATTCTTTCAGGTGAATTTAAAGACGGTGCAGAAAAAAAAGATGGGTGGAAAGTAGGTTGGGTTACTTGCTCTCTGCCGAAAAGGGTTTCTCACTCAAACAGTTTCACGACAGCCATTCTTCTCTTCCTATCCATCATAATACATGCCTGTGCTGGAAAAGACTGCAGTCTGTGGGAATGAATTCTGAGGCCAAAAGGCTTGTGAACGGGGTCGGTTCCTGGCTGTAAAATCCTGCCGCCAAGATGTTAAAGAGCCTGAGGTTGCCGTGAAAACCCCAACAGCAGACCCCCAGACCCATCCCACAGCAGCCTCCTTTGGGTCCACTGGCCCTTCCTCTCTAGGACTTTGTGGACGGGGCAGGAGACGCTCCTTTGCGACCCCGGTCACCTGTCCCTTTGAACAGTAGTGGACCAGCGGCTCTTCCCCCTCCATCCCCTCCATACAGGGTACCAAAAGGAATCCCAGGCTCTGGGGACTCCATTCACCTGCGACTTCGAAGACGGCACTTGTGGCTGGGAGGACATCAGCACCACAGCCTACCGCTGGAGCCCGGCCCAGGCCAGCACCTCCACAAGGGGGCCGGAGCCTCCTTTTGACCATACACTGGGCACTGATATGGGTAACCAGTTCTATTGGGGCTGGAAATCATTTGCAAGGCCTCGTACATCTGCCTGGTGCCAAAGGGAAAGTCCTCACGGCCTCTCTCCCAGGAAGGTGCCCTGCGCTGGGGGCCCCCCGTCCCATTTCTCCTCTTGTCTTGCCTCTCGGGGACTTTTCTCACCCCAAGGCGAGCCCCAGGTGGAGCTGACGTGTGGCTGTGGGAGCCCTGCTCTCCTCACTTCCTCTGAACGCCTCCATTGCTCTCCCACAGGCTGGTATATGACTGCCTCAAAGCAGAGAGCAAAGCCCTCAGCAGCAGCTCGGCTCAGATCGCCCCCATTGCAAGAAGCGGCTGCTGCCTGCGAGATCCGAGCTTGGTACCATCTGTGGGGGTCAGGTAGGCTGGCAGAGGACAGGGCAGAGAACTGGGGAGCAACTAGCGGCAGCAGCCTCCAGTGCCTTGCATGATTTCTCCACGCACACTCCTGCACACACGCTCCCGCACAGTTCACGGGGCAACAGATTGTGGATTTGGGAGGGAACATCTTTCTTAGGGTTGAAAGAGCTCTGAGTCCTCCACTATGTCCTGGAAATGCGCCTTGCGAACACAGGTCTCAACGAGACTCAGACTCCGTTGACCCTGGAGCTGAGCCAGGGACATCGCACCATCACCCTGTGGCAGAGCCCTCCAGGTCGCACTTACTCCTGGCGGGAGCTGGTGGCCTACACCGGTCGGATCCAGGGCACCTTCCAGGTATTTGGCACCTGAGCCCAGCCGTGCCTCCAACTGACGGGAGCTCCTCCAAGGGCTCACCCAGAGTCCTTCCATGCCTTGCAGATAACCTTCTCCTCAACCCAGGACTTCTCCTCGACAACACAGCTGGCACTGGATGACGTGGAGTTCAGGAACTGTGGCTTTCCACGTAAAGCAGGGGGTCCTTTATTTTTTCTTGAACTTGTCTGCAATCTCCGCTTCCTGTAAGGGATGTCCCGTGGGATTAATCTCTGGGGTCTGCAAATCAAGTTCCACTCCTGCACATTGGCCACGCAGGCTGAGGATGATGGGACCTGTGTTGCAGCCCCTCTGGTGGTGGGAGAGGCTCCCTTCAGGCGGGCAGTGGGTTGCTGCAGCCAGTCCCTCTTCTTCCCATGAGAGTTTTTACCTCCCCTACCCCAGAGAAATTCTGTGACCGAAGTAGGATGAACGCAGGAAAAGAGCCTTGCCCAGAGGCTCAGCTGCTTCCTTTTGTGCAAAGGCGAGCACAAGCTGTGTCCTTGTCTAGAAACCGGCCTTCCCACCTGTCTCCACCTGATCTGCAGATGGCCCCTTTTGGTCCACTCCCTTCCCCTGTCCCTGCTCCTCAGGTCCCCAGACGTGTGGCGCAGAGGCCTTTCACTGCCAGCGGGGCAGCTGCATCGCCAAAGACCGCGTGTGCGATGGCACCGCAGATTGCAGGGATGGCGAGGACGAAACCAGCGCTGATTGTGGTGAGCGCTGGCGAGGGGCTGACTCCCCACCGTTTGGCCTTGGGGGGCACAGAGGTGCTGGGAGGAAGCTCCGCCCTGGAGCCTGGGTCTGCAGCTCTTCCGATGGCAGCGGAGGGTCCTGGGGGGGCCAGAGAGAAGGCACCGGGGTCCTGCTGCAGCACTCGTGGTTTTAACGCGTGGATCCGGAATATGACCTCTTAGATTTGCTGCAATTGGCCATAGTGGCTTGTGGCTTCTCTGAAGGGGTCTTTAAGGCACTCTTCCCGGACTTCCACTCTGGTCAGCCAAATAACGCCTGCTCTCAGTAGCTCAGGAGCCTGTCAAGGAGAGTCTGGCGGTGGGCAGCCCCTTCTCCGGAGCAGTTCCAGAAAGCTTAGAGGCCTGAACACAAGTGCCCTTAATTCTCATCTTTGTCCCTTGCCCCTTAATCCACTCCAACGTTTGTTGATTCGCTTTTGGTTTTCAAGCTTGCAAACAAACAACTTCTTTCTGGCTGTATTTAGGGTGGTTCATGGCCTGAGAAGCTCCAGGGCCGACGTCCTTCTGTCTGTCTGTCTCTCTCTTGCCCCTGTAGATTCTTTCATGGCCTGTTCCTTCGAGGAGGACTGGTGCCAGTGGACAGCAACGTCCTGGCTAAGGAACACCAGCCTCCACCTGGGTTTGACCTTGGCGGGGCCTTTGCGGGATCACAGCACCAACAGCCGGAAAGGTCAGTTTAGTGCAGAAATGGCTCTCCGTGTCGTTCGGCCACAGCTTTACTGCTGCTTTTATGCTTTTATGGGTTGTGTTCTGTCCCGTGCTGCAGCAGCCCTGAGATTTTGGGGAAGGGGGGTTTCGAAAGGGAACGTCTGTCTGCTGGCATGGAAGAGACATGCTGGGGACTCGAAGGGCCTGGGTCTGCAGCTCCGGCCCCTTTGGCC